CTTTTTATTTACACTTTGTTCTTTCTTTCCAGTTCAGTTAAAAGCAGACTGTAACAAGGGATATGTCAGAGTTAAGCAGGTATGTTTTTAAATGGGTTTACAATATTTCTGATACTTACCAGGATCGTTCTTCTACTTAAATTCCACAAATGCTGCAAGTGATGATACTGATCACCGGGTCTGAAGGGCCCGAATCTGTTTTATGGCCAAAGAGAGCACAGCGAGTGGTCCTTGGAAGGGATCTGTCTTTTTTTTTTTTTTTTTTTTTTGTGTGTGTGTGTACTGCAGTGGAAAGTCTGTACTACTTCCAGATATGTTCCGGTCTCAGACAGCCAGACTTAGAGCATCAGGGAATGCTGCAGTGAATCCTCAAGCTGTTCTTCCAGGTGCCATGTTTGGGAGATTTCAGAGTTCTCCTAAGCTTACTGATCTGCCTCCTGAGCCTTAAACTTCCAAAGCTGTGGCAGCCCTTCATTTAAGATTTTGATTCATTCTAGTTTTAGTGCGACTGGGTGGTTGTGGAAGGTTTTTGTTTTGATGGCTGATAGAGCCAAAGGTGTGGTCATTTCTGGGAAGGGATGGGATGTGACACAGCACTGAAGGCATTCTCATGTTACTGACTGAATGGATATAGGCCTGCTGTCTCGTACTAATGAGGACCAGTGTCCCTGAGATACTATGAAGGGAAAATGCCCTGGCTTGAGAAACTGGGGCATGTATATGTGCCCACGGTATCAGCATGTGTGGACAACACATTAATGTGTTCTGTCTACTAGGGAGTAACATATTCTGTCAAAACGGCCCTAGCACATTTTCGCTGCTTGCTCTAGAGTTGCTTCCCAGGTGATCTGTGTGCAGCACAGGGTTCCAGTGATCAGTTATTTGGTAGTGTGTTTGCCTGGGAAATGTGAGTTGTGCGTGACTTGAGTGAAACTGCAGAACTGTAGACTGAAGAGATCCTGGCTGGAATCAGATAGGTACTTCATCACAGTGAATACCAAGTGGTCAGAGGCACAGTACCATCTTGTGAAGCAGACAGGTATAGCAGTGACAAAGCTGAAGAGACATTCTGTGACAAAGTCTATCAGTCACAGGGAAGAGCTTTTTCCTCAAGCTTGTTTCTTGTATAAACGTTAACCAAAAGCATTTTACTGAAGCCGGAGACTCCTAATTTCCCTAGGATCACCCTCATGATCAGGCAAAATCCATCTATCAAGCAGTCACTATAGGTTGCCCATGCCACTTTGTGTTATCAGTTATGCCCGAGACAGAGGAAAACGTATTGCTTTTCAGTCATTGGCTAAACTTAAGGTAACTTCTCAGTCTTTAAAACCCTATTTTGAGGGGAAAATTATTTTACAGTTGCATGGAGCTGTAAACTGATGCAATGAGATAGGCAGGTAAAAATTCGACCTTGATGTCCTCATATTCTGCTAGAACAGAGGAAATAACAGATGTCATAGAATCATAGAATGGTTTGGGTTGGAAAAGACCTTAAAGATCATCTAGTTCCAAGCCCCCTGCCATGGGCAGGAACACCTTGCACTACACCAGGTTGCTCAGAGCCTCATCCAGCCTGGCCTTGAACACTTCCAGGAATGAGGCATCCACAACTTCTCTGGGCAACCTGTTCCGATGTTTCACCACCCTCAGAGTGAAGAGTTTCTTCCTTAGATCTAATCCAAATCTGCCCTTTTTCAGTTTAAAGCCATTGCCCCTTGTCCTGTCACTACATGACCTTGAAAAAAGTCCCTCTCCAGTTTCTTGTAGGCCCCTTTAGGTGCTGGAAAGCTGCTATAAGGTCTCCCTGGAGCCTGCTCTTCTCCAGGCTGAACAGCCCCAACTCTCTCAGCCTGTCTTCACAGGAAAGGTGTTCCAGGCCTCGGATCATCTTGGTGGCCCTCCTCTGGACTCACTCCAGCAGGTCCATGTGCTTCTTGTGTTGGAGACTCCAGAGCTGAATGCAGTATTGCAGGTGGGGGAGAGCAGAACAGAGAGGCAGAATCACCTCCCTCGAACTGCTGGCCGCGCTCCTTTTGATGCAGCCCAGGATATGGTTGGCTTTCTGGGCTGCCAGTGCACATTGCTGGCTCATGTTGAGCTTCTCATCCACCAGCACTCCCAAGTCCTTTTCCTCAGAGCTGCTCTCATCCATTCTCCACCCAGCCTGTACTTGTGCTTGAGATTGCCCTGACCCACGTGGAGGACCTTGCACTTGGCCTTGTTGAACTTCATGAGGTTCTCACAGGTCCACCTCTCCAGCCTGTCAAGGTCCCTCTGGATGGCATCCCTTCCCTCCAGCGTGTCCACAACACCACACAACTTGGTGTCATCTGCAAACTTGCTGAGGGTGCACTCGATCCCACTGTCCATGTCTCCAACAAAGATGTTAAATGGCACTGGCCCCGGTACTGACCCCTGAGGAACACCACTCGTCACTGGGCTCCATGTGCACATTGAACCGTTGACCACAACCCTTTGAGTGCGACCATCCAGCCAATTCCTTCCTTATCCACCGAGTGGTCCATCCGTCAAATCCATGTCTCTTCAGTTTAGAGACAAGGATGTCGTGGAGGACAGTATCAAATGCTTTGGACAAGTCCAGGTAGACGATGTCAGTTGTTCTTCCCTTATCCACCAGTGCTGTAACCTCATCATAGAAGGCCACCAAATTAGTCAGGCAGGATTTGCCCTTAGTGAAGCCATGTTGTCTGTCATCTGCTTTTCCATGTGCCTTAGCATAGTTTACAGGAGGATCTGCTCCATGATCTTGCCGGGCACAGAGATGAGACTGACTGGCCTGTATTTCCCTGGGTCTTCCATTTTTCTCTTTTTGAAAATGGGGGCTATGTTCCCCCTTTTCCAGTCAGTGGGAACTTCACCAGATTGCCACGACTTCACACATATAATGGATAGTGGCTTAGCAACTTCATCCACCTGTGGATGCATCTCATCAGGTCCCATGGACTTGTGCACCTTCAGGTTCTTTAGATGGTCTCAAACCTGATCTTCTCCTACAGTCGCAGTTCTTCATTCTCCCAGTCCCTGCCTTTGCCTTCTGTGGCTTGGGCTGTGCAGCTGGAGCTCTTGCCAGTGAAGGCTGAGGCAAAGAAGTCATTGAGTACCTCAGCCTTCTCCGTATCCCGGGTAGCCAGGTCCCTGTTTCCTTCCGGAGAGGGCCTACGTTTTCCCTAGATCTCTTTTTATCCCTGACATATCTATAGAAGTTTTTCTTGTTGCCCTTGATGTCCCTGGCCAGATTTAACTCTATCAGGGCTTTAGCTTTCCTAACCTGATCTCTGGTTGCTTGGACAATTTCTCTGTATTCTTCCCACGCTACCTATCCTTGCTTCCACCCTCTGTAGGCCTTCTTTTTGTGCCTGAGTTGGTCCAGGAACTCCTTGTTCATGCATGCAGGCCTCCTGGTGTTCCTACCTGACTTTCTCTTTGTTGGGATGAACCACTCCTGAGCTTGGAGGAGGTGATCCTTGAATATTATGCAGCTTTCTTGGGCCCCTCTTCCCTCCAGGGCTTCATCCCATTGTACTCTACCAAGCAGGTCCCTGAAGAGGCCAAACTCTGCTCTCTTGAAGCCCAGGGTAGTGACCTTGCTGTGCGCCCTACTTGCTGCCCTAAGGATCTTGAACTCCAGCATTTCATGGTCGCTGCAGCCAAGGCTACCCTTGAGCTTCATGTTCCCCATCAGTACCTCCATATTGTTGAGAACAAGGTCCAGCAAAACATCTCTCCTCGTTGGTTCCTCTACCACTTGGAGAAGGAAGTTATCATCCATGCATTCCAGGAACCTCCTGGATTGCTTATGCCCTGCTGTGTTGTCCCTCCAGGAGATATCGGGGTGGTTGAAGTCCCCCTTCTTTTGTGAAAGATGCAAAATAAAAGCATTAAAATACGGATAGGCTGGTATATACTTTGCACAAGCTGAGGCGGACAGAGGTTTAGCCTCTCTTGAAGGAAGAGGCAGGTGTCACCATGTTTGAACACAGTCTTCTGTGGACCGGAGAAGGGTTATCACATTCAGCTTGGGGGTAAAAAAAAAGACAGGAGCAAGAAGCTTATCTCTGTAGTGGACTCTTTTGGGGGCTCAGAGAGACTTTTTTCCTGATTTTTCTTTATTTTTTGCTTACATATGAGGCAGTGTACTCCTTTCCCTCTTGAAATGAGCTGGAAGAGTGTGTTTGTGTACTTGAAGGCGAATGTGTTGATGAGACAGCACTTGATAGAAAAAGAAAACAAAATGTAGTAAAAGGAAGAAGAAAAAGTGAAATAATTTGAAAACAGGAAACTTTCTGGGGATGATTGAACCGAAATAATTTGTTAAAACTACTGTTACTCTTCAGAAAGAATTGTTACTAAGGCTGTTATTATTTTAACAGTTGTTTAACAGGTTGTTAATTTGTTGTGAGCAAAATGCAACATAGGTCTTGCTGTAACTCTGTAGCCAGCTTCCACAGAACTGTCAGGTCCCTGTGAAGCCATGCTCCTGAGAGTTGTGTGCTGTGATTGAAGACTGGGCCACAGAGTCTTCAATCTCTCTATGTGTTGGACTTCCCTCTAGAGCAGATTGGTGTGGGGAGGGGGTGCAGTGAATACAACGCACATTTGCTTTCCAGGATAGTGATAGTCCAGGACAATGAAGTGGTAGTTCACAATTCCAGTTTCTGCATCATCTGCCTTTTTTTTTTTTTTTCCCTTTTTTCTCCCTACCAAAGATGGGAGTCAACCCAGCTAGTGTTGATCTTGTGAATATTGGCAAGGATGAAGAGGTGAAAATGAAGCCAGGCCAAGTTCTGCATATTGTGAACAAACTTTACCCGTATGTGGTGGAATTTGCTGAAGACTCAGAGAAAACTGTTACAGGAGTAGAAGAGAAAATACAAACCACCAAGACGCTACGTGAGGACTCCTGCGAGAATGATGACGTAGAGCTTGTGCCCAGAAAAATAATGAAAATGGAGGTGGTGGATACAGAAAGCAGTTCTGCAAATCCCAAGCTGGGTGTATCTCCACGTGAAGTAACTTCAAGCAAAAAGGCAAGTGTTTTGCTATTAGTACTTGTGCTGTTTCTCCTGGGGTTGTCTCCTCCATCAGGAGTGGTCTTTTGTGGATACTACTGATGGGGAAGCATCTCAGGTGAACACAGATCCTCAGAGCATGTAAGCTGAGGCAAAGACTGCTCCTGACATCCCCCAGATCCTGCGAAAGTTTCCTGGAGCCCACTCTAACCTGAGCTGAGGGGGGGTGTGTGTGTGAAGGGCTTGCTTGTAGCGAGTGAGGATTTAATCTCTGGTTCGTGCTGCAGTTTCTGCTAGAAGGACAGCCCACACAAGCTCGGTTCAGCTGGAGTCACACAAGGATACTGTGCTGGCTCTTGAGTTGTAATCTGCTATGTTACAAATAGAGCAGTGGTTGTCTAAAAGCTTATGCACAGAGAATGGAACAACTTGACCCTCTTTTTTTTTTTAATTGCTTTTTTCCTCCCCCTCTTGCTTTGGTCATTCCTTATGGTAGTATGATGTTTACATTAAGGAATGTAACCAGGCAAAATCTTTTTGTAAGGAGATTTTTAGCCCGGCTGACATGGACAAAATAAAAGACTGCTTAGTGCATCTAGAACTGACAGTACAGTTGCTGGAGGAGAAGGCACAGAAATGAGACCCCTCGGGACAAAATTTCAGTCCCAGGTTGTGGTGGGTTGACCACTTATTTCACCTGTGAACTCAGGCTAGTTATATTAGGGCCAGATTTGTGGTGGTATGAGCAGGGAGACAAGCCAATTCACACTGTTTCTCTGTCAGCGTTAAAATAATGTTTGAACATCTTCATCTACAAGACTATGATGAAGATCACTGTTGATAATGCCTGTAAAGTGATCTGAACAGATAAAACATTATCTGTTTTGAAAAAAGTACCCTCGAGTCACCTTCTATTAGGTGTTCAGTAACCAACTTAAGAGATAACTGCTAATGTTGGCTTGATCTTCCTGTGCCTTTCTTTTTTTCTGTAGCAGCCACTCCTGCATAATATCAAAAAATGAATACATTGAACAGTAAGGCAGCAAACCACAACCACTTGTTCTGCGCAGAGCAGCATGTGGTAGGACAGTTAGTGGAGATCCTGTACTTCCTTTGGCCCTGGTGATCCATGAAGCAGAGGGTCTTTTAGTAAAATAATCTATCATCAGTAGTAATCGAGGACTGTACCATAATACATGCCTGCAAATTATTAAATTCAAACAGATCTACAGCTCTCTGTTGTTAAACTTCCAACGTTTGAAAGACTTGACTTTAAATCTTAACAGTACCTTGTTAAAAGTTTTCAAAAGTAGGTTTGTGAAGGCAGCTGGAGCAGATGTGTTGGCATTTATAGAAAGGAAATAATTCAGCTGTCATTCAGCTATTATTTTACTGTTGTACACTAATGAAAGTACTTAACTGAATGCTTTAAAACATATAATTTGATTCTTAGTTACCTTTTTTTTTTTTTAATCCTGTGCTGTAGGAACATTTAGGACACTGGAGTCAGGGTCTAAAGAGCTCCATGCAAGATCCAAAAATGCAGGTGAGAGCTGTACTCTTGTACTTTACGGTAGTTCCTGTCTAACAAAGTTAAATGAGTTTTTTTTCTTCCCTCTGTAGTTTAATGATCTGATTAACCAGTAGAGTATTCCGTAAGGGCTGAATTGTACTTGCATCTCTCTCTGTAGTAGCATTAATTTGGGAGTCTCTACTATGCTAATTTTGCAGGATGTCATTATCTTAATTGTCTTTGAGCTCTCTACGCTGTTGAATTCAGCCAACAGATTTCAGAAAGGTTGTTGGGAGAGCAGGCGAGCAGTGCAGTTGCTTTGTTTCCTCAGGGAAACCAACTAAAATGGGAGGTGTTGTTTCCAAGCTTGGTGCATTTCCTGGTTTCCAACAAACTCTTAACAGCAATACCTCTGAGCCAGCTGACAGGATGTGACTCCTGGCTCCTTCTCCACCCACTTTCTTTCTACCAATTGGAAATTGCTGGGTAGTTTCTTTTAACCTGCAGATGCTCCAGATGCGCCTCCCTCCCTCTGCTTTCCTGTGGCTGCATAATGGTTTTCCTTGAGCTCATTTTTTTTGTTGTCTGCCGCCTGCTTTTGCGGAGGTCAGACTCAGGAAGCAGAAATCTGACAACTGTCTTTTGTGGCTGCACTGTATACATACTGTCTTGTTACTATATTCTGAGAGAGCCCTGAGAGAATCTTCCCTATCCCTGTATAGAACCTATATTTCTTTTTATTTTGAAGTTATGGCAAATATATAGACCACTCCTTCTGAAAAACAAGGGTTTTTTTAGCTCATCTCCAAAATAGGGAGAATGTTCTCCATCAGTATTCGACTGTCTGGGATAGTAAGGCCTGAAGCTTGGGTCCATTTAGCTTGGATTTTGGCTGGCTGACTGCTGCATGGCCATCTTGACATTAGAGATGTGTTCTTCCCTTTATACTTCTCAGCAAGAGTATGTGTTCAGGAAGATGGATATCACAGACACCTGTGATACTTGGTTCTTGAAATCATTGAATAATTTCAGTTGGAAAAGTCGTTTGGAGCTCACCCAGTCTGACCACTTACACTCGGTGTGATTGCCCCAGCCTTTTCCGTTTGAATTGAGTTGATCTTGAAGGGTGAAGATCTCACAGCTTCACTGGGCTCCTCCAGGTGATAATCATCCTCAAGCTGAAAATAATTTCCTTGATAACTAATCAGAAGGTCAATATTTCTTGATTGATTTTTTTTTTTTTTTTTTAAGTTCAAGTCTAAGGTGTTGAACTATGTAGAGTTGTAGGAGAACTGGATGCCCATCCTCGTGGAAATGCCAGCGGTTTCAAATGAGTCTTTCTATGGGGAATGATAAGCTATTGAAATACTTGCTTTTTAAACGTGAAGCTTGATCTTCATCTCTCAAGTGGAATTTCATATAGCACTTACCAAGGCAGTGCTTTCTTGACCCAAAAGATAAACTGGTTTTAAAACTTTTCTTTGAATGTTAGAACACAAATAACTGTTTGTGACTTAGTGTTAGCTTTACTAGTTGTGGTTCTGAACTAAATACACAAACAATAGAACTCCTAGCTTTGCTTTTTAATAAAATATTAAATAAATGGCAGTATTTCTTCCTTCTGAAAACACTTGATCGTGGTCCCATTCTCACTGGCTGCATATGCAGACACTAATGTGTGTAATTAAAAATATGACAACATCAACTAGTCTTGCTGCTGAATCAGTCCTTTGATTTGTATGCTGATAAAATTTTAATCTTCCTTCCTGTAGAGCAAGAGTGATCAGCTCTGTATATAAACATACGAGAATAATTAGCAAAGATGACAAAGACATCATCCATCTCTCACCAATAGATGTACTGTTAAGAGATCAGAGATACAGCACAGTTTCTGCTTCAGAACCTGGCAGATTTTTATTGCCAGGGACAGGTTGTCTCCTCTGTTCTCCATGTGCTTTGCTACTGTTTCTCTTCATCAGCTGCATTAAACTGTTGCAGAAGGCAAAACAAAGTGAGAACAGGGGAAGAAGGGCTTGATAGACACCAATCTGTTCTCCTTTTTGAGAGTGATCTTACAAAGTGGCATGTTGGGTAGCATGAACTGAAATAGCTCAAGCTTTAACATTTTTGTCATTGTAATGCCAGTGGAGGTCTGCAGCACCGAGCATGTTATTTGCAGCACCTCTGAGGCTTGTGTTTCACTCCAGACATCTGTGCAGGACGAGGCAGTCCAGTGCGTTCCTTCGTGCTTTATGTTGAACAGAGTGCCGTGATTTTTGTTTTGGTGATCGCTAAACTTGAGTGTAGCCTGATGGAAGTAGAATTTCCTAGGCCTCACTGGTATCTGAGTCTTGATTTTCAAGTGTTCATATCCTCCTGTAGCAATAGGTAACTTCCTGCTATGTAAGAACAGAAAGCTTTTTCCTTAAAGCATATATAGAGGGATGCTGGAACATCTCTCTGTAGCTGCCTGCTACATGGTATAGAAGAGAGCACATATCCTGGACCAACTTAGTTCCCGCAAAAGTCCTCCGTGAAGTGGAATGCTCTGCTGCTTGATATTTCTCCCCGCTTAGCAATCTTGCCTGGCTTTTTTCCTGGCAGTCCGAGACGCACCAGCAACACATACATGTGCTAAGGGACTTCTGCAACCACAATGGGATGTGCAGATGAATAACATCTCAAAATCCACTAAATACAGTGCTTATAGGAATAAGATACTGAACTTTCAATTAGTAAATAATCTAATATTTTGTTTTGCAAGGTTTACAAAGATGAAAAGACTGTAGTCATCAAAGATAAGTATCCCAAAGCACGTTACCACTGGCTTATCTTACCGTGGGACCCTGTTTCAAGCCTGAAGTCAGTCACCAGGGACCATCTTGAACTCTTGGAACATATGCATGCAGTCGGGCAAAAAATGATTGAACAGTGCCCTGCCAGAGAGAGTCTGGAGTTCAGACTGGGTTACCATGCTATCCCCAGTATGAGGTAAGACCTAGATGAGTCATCAGCTGGAGACTGTGTTCTTCCAGTTCTACAGATTTGAGGCTACATCTGTAATGTCATCTGGCGTTGCTAAAAATAACTAATCCTCCTAAACAGTACAAACAATTTGGTGTCCAAGTCCTTCGGGTGCAGCTGTGCACAGACTGCTGCGTATGTGCTGATGGGCTACACAGGCGTCGTAGATCCAGTGGGAAATGCCAGTTGGGTTCCCCTAGCAGAGGTCTGTAGCTGGGGCTCACTGTGTGCCTGTGGTCCAGTCCCAGCGACAGAGGTGGCGCCACCAATGGCATCCCCCCTCCCAGGGCACCAGTCTGGGATCAGGAGTGACTCTTAAGCCTACAAGTCCTGCCTGATACTTAGCAAGGATTTGAATCTTGTGGGTAGGTCCAGATGTTACAGTGTCCAAACGCCCGTGGGTATTCCAGTCAGCATTCCTAAGTTGTTCTCCGCTTTTGGACAAAGCTGTGAGTCAATGATCAAGTCCTGTTCAGGTAGTTTGCAAAGTTTAAACCTTTGGTTTATTAAAACCACTGTCTGCCTTTTTGGAAACTATCAGGAATACAGACTGTAGTTAGGGGCCAGTGGAATATGCAGACTAGCGACCTTGACTGTGGAAGTGAAACGCTTGGCATGAGACAGTGCTTCCAGAATGGACTGGGTTTCTTCTGTCGCAGGATTAGGAGTCAAACAGGATAAGACTGACCCATAGGGCTGGCAGTCCGACGCTGCTGAATCATGTTTGCAACTGATAGTACTGCAAAAAAACTCTGAGCATTAACATTTTTCTTCTGTCTACATAATATATTTGTTTCAGTCAGCTACATTTGCATGTAATCAGCCAGGATTTTGATTCTCCGGCCCTGAAAACCAAAAAGCACTGGAACTCTTTTACTACAGACTACTTCTTAAACTCTCAAGGTAATGATTAGAAAAGGTATTTCGTAACATGTTCTGGCTTTGGGCTTTTTTTCCCAACAAATGTGTAAGCTATAAATTCTAGTGTAATAAGTGAAAGGTTTTATGTAATTTCAGATATTGGGGAATAACACTAAGTAAAAGTCAAGCGACTTTTGTGACTGGCTGAAATTAGAACGGAGTGATGACATGCTGCGCATGTGAAGCAGCGTGCAGAGGCTCTGCGGTGTCATGTGTTGTATGATGCATCATGGTTGCAATACCTCTCATCTCTTACCTTTTTTTCAGATGTGATAGAGATGGTAAGAAGCAAGGGGAAAGTGATGGTGAAAGATCATGTCTCTGAACTTCTCAAATCACCCCTGAGATGCCATTGCTGCAAACAGCAGCTGTCCACTATCCCACAGTTAAAGGAACATCTCAGGAAACATTGGCCAAAATGACTTTGCAAAAAATCATCGTACAACCTGTCTTCAGATTTCAGGCTAAAACAACGACCTCGAAATGTCAATGGACATGTATGTTTTTTGTTAACTGGAATGACAAATGTAATGTGGGAAAAAGTAGCCTGGAAACAGCAGCAGACTAACTTTGTAATAGCTTAGACAAAAAAACCCACAACATAAAATAAAATGACTTCTGAAGTTGAAGGTGTGTTTGCAGCTTTGTTGTGGTACTGCCACACTAATCTGCATGTGAACCGAAATCTGGAAGAAGTGTTTTGTTTGGATGAAAGGATCTATTTTAATTCAGAAGCTGAGGCGTTAAGCCCAGATCTAGGTTTCTACAGAGAAAGGAAAGAAACAAACAGTGATTTAGAGTCTTTCTCTTGGTGTCTTCTGCCTATCACTGAAGTTTCACTAAAGCGATAATGTTGCAGAGGCTGGTGTGACTGACGCCAGAACTGTCAAGGGAATGTACTGAGAGTGTATGGGAATGAGCATCAGCTGCAGTGTCCTCACTTCGCTGTGCCACAGCACAGCTTGAGGATTTCAGTGCTGCCAAGCTTCCCTTTAGTTATGGAGCAGGCGTCGCCCCTCACCAGGGTGCCAGGGTAGTCACTGCTCAGGCTCCAAGAGGGGCAGCCTACCTCTTTCAGTTAAAAGGATGTATTTAATCATTTATATATATAAAAACACATCTATACTACGCAATGACTGGCTTTACTGCTCCCCAGAGTAATGAGCTATCAAGGTTTGCAGTTGCTTGGCTGCCTGTGTTGAGGTTGGTACAGAAATCATGTGGTTTAATGCTGTCCTGTTTCCCCACGCCGGGATTTTGGTGAGCCTCTGCTGTCGTCAAGATGTGAACTCCCAGATAGGCAGCAGAGCAGTAGTAATGAAAATCTGTTTCTGGGTCCAGAACCGGTTTGTAGGGTTCCATGTCATTCTAAGCCCAGCATCTTAAGTAAGATGCCCTCTGGGTGAAATAGCTTTCAGTAGAAGAGCACGAAGAGCTTTTGTTACACAAGGAAAATGCTGTTCGTAACTGGATAACGTATTCTGTGGGGAGAGGGCATCCTCTTCTGTGCCCCTGAGCAGCAGCAGCATGTTATTATACACACTTTGATGGGGCACCTGTTGCTCCTGGAAAAGAACAGACATTCCTGTAGTAGAATGGGGGACAGTAAGGGTGAGGGGTTGGGTGTGGCCTAATTCAAACACCAGTCACACTTTAGTTTTTGCTGACATCTTAATGTAGAAAGCAAAACTTTTTTTTTTTTTTTTTTAAAGAGAAACAATGGCAAAAGCACAGCCAGTCCAGGGATTCACTCTTGACACAGTAAAACTAGGGCATCACTTGTCCCCAGAGGTGAAGCAGTGCTAATGCTTAGCAACAGGAACTATTTTGGACCAAGAGCACTTGCAAATGCTGGAGAACTGTGGTCTTCCTCGCATGGCAGATGCAGGCCAGAAAGGAAAGGCACACTGCTTCACAGTTAAACACGCTGCTTGTGGCCCACGGCCCCTGACATCTGGGTGGGTGTCATGTTTTTTAATACCTCTCAGAGCAGGCCAAAGTGAAGCACAAACACCTGCAATCCATCTGTAAAACCGGTGCTCAGCTGCCCGAGTCATGACTGTCACACACTCACGTGGGGAGCACTGGTTTCTGATGGGAAAGCCTGTGTATGGTGTTGTAAGTCAGTGGCATCAGCAAAAACACTGCCACCAGGGCTCCAGGCATGTGTTTGCTGCTTGTGCTGTCCCCAGGTGGAGTGGTGGCAGGGCACTGCTACGGAGAAGCATGTCCACCTCTCCCTGGATGAAAGTCACAGCTATAGGAACGGTCTGCAAGAATGGCAGCAGAGGACATAAGCTGTTTGAAGCCTATAAGGGACACCCACGTATCCATGTCCAAGGGTAGCCTCAAGGCCACAAAGGAAACTAAAGCAGTAGTCACAGACATTGGCATGGGTCACTTCAGGTGTGGCTTTGCAGGGTACCCATGGCCTTCCTACATTTTTTCATCTACAGTAGGTAAGCCCACACAGAAGAGTGGGAGCAATCAAAAAGAAACCTTTGTTGGAAGAAAGCTTCAGAATAGCAGCGTACCCTCAACACTCATCAACCCAGTAAGACGTGGCATAGTGGTGGACTGGAACTGTGTCCAAGGTTCTTTGGAGTATATTTTCCAGACGGAGATGCAGATTCAGCTGGAGAACCATGTTGTTCTGATATCAATGCCTCCCCTGTGTTCCCTCACTGACAAGGAGAGATATGCTGAGATGATGTTTGAAGGACTTCATGTGCCTGCTGTCCACATTGCCTACCAGTCCCATTTATCCATGCATTCTTATGGAAAAACCTCAGCTCTTGTGGTGGAAAGTGGCCACGGCGCTTCGCATGTGGTTCCCATCTACGAAGGTTACATTATACGTAGCATCACTAGGAGAGCAGATTATGCTGGCTTGGACGTCACTCATTATCTCATGAAGTTACTAAATGAGTTTGGAAATATGTTCACAGGCCACCAGCTAAACATTGTACAAGATCTCAAAGAGAGGTGTTGTTACACTTTGGACCTTACGCAGGATTTTAGCTTGCCTGTTCAGAAATAACAAATGGATTATGAGCTGCTGGATGGACACCTCATCGCTGTAGGCAAGGAGAGATTCCTTTGTGCTGAAGCGCTCTCCCAACCAGCCTTACTTGGCTCATAGCAGCCCGGGCTTTTGCAGCTGATGCTCACCTGTCTCAAGAAGTGTGATGCTGACAACCGCAAAACAATGGTGGGGAATATCCTGCTGTTCGGGGACAGCACTATGATGGAGGGCTTTGCCAACCGCTTCTAGATGGAACTGGCCAGGATGTGCCCCAGGGACAACCTCATCACAGCTGTGTCCCCTCAAAGAAAGTCTTCTGTCTGGATTGGTGGGTCTATCCTGGCCTCAGGAGCTCTGGGTTTACAGAAGTGAATATGAAGAACATGGTCCTTCCTGTATTTTTAAGAAGTGCTTCTAAGGAAGACACTGGGTGCCTTAGACCAGTGTTGACAAAGGGGAACTGAATCAGTTCAAGAGCACCTCCCTTCCACCCCTTGCTGTAACAGAGATTTCTGCTGGACCTGTATTACTTTTGTAATATTGTGTGCCTGAAATAGTTTGGTTTTTTTTTTCTTTTGTATTTTGTACTTAAGCTAGACAGCATATAGGTGACAAACTTCTACTCTGTCTAGAGACTTAGGCTTCCATACAGCCACATTTGCTCAGAAAGTGGGACATTTCTTAAGCTAACTCTGTATTTCTCCATTAATGGCTTACTTCAGTTTCTGATAACTATGTCTGTTTGTAGGAGCCTCCACAGAACTTGGAAGAGCAAATTCAATGTCTCTAAATTAGACTTGATGTCACATTTCAAGGTGACAGGCATCACTAAGAAAGCGAAGGAGCATCCTAATAGAAATCAAGGGAAAGCAGACTCCTGGCGGCTGCCAGGAAGAAGCTAAGGTTCAGCAAATGCCGAAGTGGGAAGCAGGATGCAGGACATCCCCCCTGGAGGCTCCAAGACACTAGGGGGTCAAGGTTCACTCAGGAGGGAGAGGGGTAGCTGAAGACGATGGAGTTCAGCAATTAATTATCATATGAAGGATTTAGAGGGGTGGTCTTCCACCTGGGTGGCAGACTTAAAGTGATTTTGCCTTGATGGGAGAACAGGAAAACATGTCTAAGACCAGAGGGTCTTCTGCTTTGACCAGCACCACAATGGAAAAGCAGAAGTAGCCATATACACGCATTAAAGGAACTTCTGTGTTTGGGCACAAGCATGAATCCTCAGTAAGCCAGCAGTAGGTTTACCTTTTCTTGGGTTCTTTAAAGAGGGAATCTCTTTCCAGACAATAGATTAGGCTTCGAAAGATCTCAGCATTTCCTGGCATGAGATTTAGGACTGTCAGGAATTAGCAGTGTCAGGTGTCACATTTCAGTTTCAAGGCCAGAGCCATCCCCGCTCTGGAGAGGACAACAGACTCCCTTATTATCTCTTTCTCCAGATTGGAAAGATGGCTTCTGTATTTCATCTTGGACTATGTTCTGCTATCATTTTGAAGACCCAGATCCAGTAAAACACTCCCACGCTTTCATGTGTTTAGCCATCTCAAGGCTTTACTCTTGGAGAATCTCCTTCCGGTGCATTCACGGTGCTTAACAACAGGCTTAAACCATCCCCTCACCACCCAGAACAGGCCACGCAACTCCAAACAGTGGGACGTAAGACCACTTCAGTGCTTCACACAACACTGACAAAGGAGTGTTTCGCCACTCCACTCAACAACCTCAAACCACCCGCACAGCACATATGGTGCAAGCCCACATGGCCATCTCAGTGTGATGGAGTTCTAGCTCCACAAAAATGATGATCTGCAGCACTGGAAACATGCTAATGCCACACAGTAAGGGCACAGCCCATTGCTGAGTCATTAGATACCTCCAACAGACAGGAAGTGCTTTGTTTGTGCTGGCATTTTTCCACAGCACCTGAGATGGCTTGCATTGAACACAGCAGCTGCCAGGCCAAAATTAACTGAGGGAGAAGGAGGCTGCCACTGCTGAAAGGGTTTCCAGCCTTGCCTGCACAGCGTGTCCCCTTCCGCTGCTCCTAGGACAGCCGCTGTTACTTCTTGAGTCAGATCACAGAAGTATTCTGGGGTAAAACCTAATTCTACGTTTTTTTAAACTGGTGTAAAGTGTTCTGCAGTAGTGCATAGCATAACCAGGGTATGGCTGCTGATCTGTCAGTGCCATAGAGGAGGATTAGCTGATCTTCTTTAAACTCAGGTAATTAGGGGAGTGTTACTCAGCAGTGTATGACACCAAGACCTGCCCCATTTCACCCCTCCCCCCAGCTTTTATTCATGTTTTCTTCTACCCAAGATCTCCCTGGTGCAAATGGGCACACTTTCAGGACAGTAGCGGTTGTTGGTACTGCAGGGTTCACTCGGATGTAACAAAGGGATTCTGATGAAAATGTGGTATTACCAACATCCAGCTTCAACAGAGAGAACACAACTCATTTGTTCAGCAACTACCATTTGCTATTGGTACTTAAACACCAGACTTACTGGTGAGATCTCTACACCAGACTGAACAGCTTAGAACATGACCTGTCATCATGGCTGGTACTATGCACGGGAGGGAGCGATGGCAGAGAAAATGGCCCATGCAACACTGGTGGCATTGCTTCCTGCAGAAGGGAGGGAACATTGGTGGGAGATGTTGGACTCAACCAGCAGCATTCAGAGCTGCACACCCTGGTACTCCCCAACCTCACAAACCACCTCTGCAGTGGGACGTGAGTGCTGTCCCCGTTAGCGTGATGCCATACAGGTCACAGTTGCATCAGGTGGAGGGACCCTTTGCTTGCACAACCCTAAGAACAGTGTATCAGAAAGCCAGGACAACAATGGTTTCTGTGAAGATGTAATGAAATTATACGAAAAGTTACAGTTCAGAGTCCACTGGGATTCTTCGGCTTTTAGTTATTGCAGAAGATGCAGTTTCCACTGTAGATTTTTATTGAGTTTTGGTGGAATAAGTAATTCTGGATCTGAAAGGCAAACAGGACAAGGGTCAGAACAGAGGTTGACAGCAATATAGTTTCTTCAGAGGCTGCCAACTACTTAGTTTACTTTTCATCAAAGGACACTGAGAAGTCGCCAACTACTTAAGTTTACTTTTCATCAAAGGACACTGAGAAGTCTCTGACACACAGCATTTCCCTTTAGTGACTGATCACCAGCCTGCACAGAAGAGTGTCCCCAGCAGAACTGCCTACAGAAATAAATCTCTGGGACAAATCAAGTCCCTTCTCCATTAAGTGCTATTGTTCAGAATGAGGAGACAACAATCACTGGCAGAAAGCAGGTTCATTCACCAATAACTGGGACATCATACATAATGGTCAGCTGACTCAAAGTGTGAGTAAGAGGCACAAGGTTTTGTCTGGAGCCAGCCCTGGCAAATGGCAACAGGCAGGTCACATCTAGAGGTTTATTAGAGGATTTCTCCAGGCAATCCAGGATTAGTAGGGGAAGAGACTGCAGGACTAGCGGGGAAGAGGAAATACAGAGGGGAGGTGGGACTAGCCCTTGCTAGGTCTCTCAGCCCTAAGTCTGCATTAGCTGCAAGCACTTCCAGATGGCAAAGCACCATCACAGACTGTAGCCTGGCCTGGTTCAAGAGCCCGGCTTGGCTGCCAAAGCCAGATAGAAAAATTCAGCAGGTAAATTACAAGCAGAATTATCTGACACATTCCCTAAGAAATCAGACTTCCAATTTCCTCACAAAAGACAGACACTACACACACAGAAAGCCAGGAGCACAATTCAGACAGTAGTTTTAGCACAGGACTTGGGAGCAAGTAAAAGCTTATTAAGAAGGCTGTTGTTTCCACAAGGCAGGAGGGTACACCATAAAGAAAAGCAAGAAACTCCTACAACTGAGGAATTACTCCAACTGTTGGCAGGCAGGAGTGCTTGGAGAGCCTCAAAGCCCACTGACCTCACTGACATTTCACACCCACACCTAAACCAGAGCCTCAACTAACCTTGTACAACAGGAGTCACCATCCTCTTCTGCTGATAGGCAGCCATAATGCTGTTCGCAGTTGAGCCGGGTCCCAGGACCTGCATGAAGAAGCAATACCCATGTTCTGACCTGCACAAAGCAAGGCTAAGAGCAGGGACACCTACAAAGAAAACTCTGCTGTTAGTCTGCAAAAGCAGCAGCAGCTGCCTGCAGGAGACCTCACAGTACAGAGTGACCAGGAATATGTGATGAAAGCCCAGTAATGTCTCAGAAGAGTTAACATAGAGGCAGAAAGAGAGAACTGCTTTCGGACAGCTTCTCTGGGCACAGAACCCTTATCCCAGCACTGTAAGTGCCATGACTTGGCAGGACTATTTTTGTTACACTGCCAGCAATATCTGAAGTTCATTAAAAGGGCTCAGCTCCCTGTCACATAGACTAGTTTTAATCTGTCCTTAGAGTCTTGCTGATTAGTAGTTAGGGAGAAGATACTGGGGAATATCTTGTGTTCACCATGAATGCTCACAAACTACTTACAAGGACTTCTACTTTGGAAGGGAACTAAGTGCAGTCTTTGTGATTTCCTTATTCTGCATTAAGCTGAAGCTTAGAAGTCTCAAATAACCCTTCTTTTTGCAAGATACTCCTTATGATATCCTGGTTCAGACAAAATTGACCAGTGTGGTAGCTTTTCGCTTCACAACACCAGGTTGGACAAGCCAGTGCTTCAGTCCATAAAAGCTATGCTAACACTTCAACCATCAGGCCTAAAAAAGAAAATAGCATTCCTATGTTCTACAAATTGCTTGAGATACAGCTTATGAAAAGAAGTCACCACTAGGACAAGGTAACGCAAGCTTTACGAAACCTCATCATGTCCAACGTGGCATTCAGTGCAAGGGACAGAGCAGGCTATACCTGCTGTACGCATCTAGAGTGTACTGACTTGGCAGGTACTGCACAGAATTCTACTTGACCTCTACAAAAAAAAAAACAGATCTGGAAAGCCAGCAAGGATTCCGGACTCTTTTTTGGAGAATGCAAAATACTGCTAAATACTTGGTATTGTATGGCAGGTGTGATGGGTATTGCAGATGAGCACAGACCGGGTTGAGAGAGCTTTGATGCAGGTCTGGAGTCCAGATTTCTGGGATCGAGGTCTCCATCAACTGCAAAACCTCTTCCAGGACTTGCTGCAGTGCCCCAGCTTGCTCATCATAACCAAACAGCACAAGCTGCTTCAGAAGGATGTGTATGTCTCCTGCAGGAGGGAACAGAAACACAAGCAACAGCAATTAACACAGGTATGCTAAACAAACAGCTGTTATTTCTCTGGTACCAGGGTACAAGAAGGGGAGAAGCAAACCAGAACTGGTTCTGTTCCTACCCAGCCCCTACAGCGCCTGAGTAAAAACGTGAGGCAAACCTGTCACGGCACTG